AAGACAATGAAAAGTATTATTCATGATGGAACCTTTTCTTTTATGGGATTAATGATGAGACACCACTGTCTCATGGTGTCAGATGTCTTGCTCCTCGATGCTCTCCATATTCAGAAGTGCTGTTGAGGACAGCAAGCGGCTTTAAGCTGCAGTGATGTGTATGTGTTTGGAGAGGCAGGTGCTGAATGGCTTAAAGACTTTGCTCAGGCACCAGAGTTCCCTGGTTAGAACACAGGCATTTCAACCTACCGTTTTGTCCATTAGGAGTTAACTTCCCCTATTTTCCTCATCTATAAATTGGGAGGATAATGAGCCATACCTACTAGAGTTTCAGTAAATATTCAATAGCACAATGTGCCTAAAGCACCAAGCAGATGCCAAGTGTGTAAGACATGCTTTATCCACATAGAATCAGTCATTATTGGTGTTACCAGGAAGTTCCGTCATTCTAAACTCACATACACTTTTGAGAGTCTGCTAAGCTGTCTTAAAAACTGCTTGCCCAACATGTTAGCAACAAGTATGAAAGAAGGGATTCTCATCATTATTTCTATCCTGGATTCATAAAGCACCAGGAAGGCATATGGTATTATATAAACATTAAATAATAATATATCCTGCTCTGCTTCCAAATTAAATCAAGTTCCAAATACAGCATTTGCAAAGTTAATATGGCTACCTATAAGAGTCAAACAATTTTGGTGTTTAAATTTCTGTCTCCTATGACATAAAGTTTTGCAGAATGACATACCACAGGAAAAATGGAAAGAAAACTGGGAATAGGGGTAAAATTTGTTAAAATTATTTTCTCCCTTATATACAAAAACACAGATTAGTTGTTCAACTATTTACGTGCTAGCTGTGTGCATTTAATCAAGTAACTTACATTCTCTGCGATTTTATCTGTGAAATGAAAATCATGATACTTACTTCATAGGTTTGTGATGAGACAAATTAATTAATGAATAAAATATAGAGTAGTGGTTTGCACAGATTAAGAGCTGCTTGATGTTAGCTATAATTATTATTTTCCTATGTATTGTTGTATTTTCTACAGGTATGTTATAACACAAATATATATAAGTTACTTTACAGTTTTACCCCCAACCCCCCCCCCAACTTTATCAGTGAAAAAAACAAAGTGGGTATTGAAGTAATTATGATGCTATCTTACTTTCCTGAGCCACTCTTGGTAAGAATTGAAAGCAAAGAAGACAAAGCCTCTAAGTTACTGGAATAACTATTTGTGAAATACTTGTGTTTACTCAGACCATATTACTCATATTTTACAGAAATTTTTAAAACAATTCTCTGTTTTGAGGTTTTCAACCTATACGTAATAAAAACAGATTGCTTTTAAGCACTTCATGTTCTAGGAGCTGAGCCAAGGAAGTTGCATTGGACTATTTTATTTAATCTTTGCAAGCCACTATGAGGAAGTATATTAATTTTTTATTGCTGTATCTAATTACCACAGATTTAATGGCTTAAAACAATACAAATTTATTTTCTTACAGTTGTGGATGTCAGAAGTCCTGAATCGGTTTGTAAACTGGAATAAAATCAAGATGTGGCAGGCCTGAACATTGTAGGGAGAATCTATTTCCTTTCTAGAGGTAGATTCTATTTCCCAGCACCCTGTCTTCAAAGCACATCACTCCAGCTTTGCTCCCATCTTTATATCTTCACTTACTCTGATCCTTCTGCCTCCCACTTATAAGAATTCTTAGATTACATTGGGCCCACCTTGGTGATCCAGGATAATCTCTTCATCTCAAAATCCTTAATTTAATAATATTCACAATTCCCTTCTAACATGTGAAGTAACATATTCACAGATGCCATGGATGGGATATAACATATTTCAGGGTAGGGAGTTTCAGCCTACCAGAAGTAGATACAATTATGCTCATTTTGCAAATAAGAAAAAAAGGTAGTACGAGAACAAACTGAGGGCTGTTGGGGGGGGG